TGTAAGAGAAGTGAATGTTTGGGTGTTAGCAAGAGACTTGGGATTAAAAGATAAAGAATCTAACACAAAGTGGGAGTTGTCACAGTTGCTCTTCGCTGATGGCACTGCATTTGAGAGAGTCTGAAGAGAAGTTGCAGAGGTTGGTGGACGAGTTTGGTAGGGTATATAAAAGAAGGAAATTAAAAGTGAATATAGGAAAAAGTAAGGCAATGAGGATAACAAAAAAATTTAGGTAATGAAAGATTGGATATCAGATTGGAGGGAGAGAGTATAGAGGAGGTGAATGTATTCAGATATTTTGGGAGTGGACGTGTCAGCAGATGGGTCCATGAAGGATGTGGTGAATCATAGAATTGATGAGGGAAAGAGAGTGAGTGGTGCACTGAGGAGTCTTTGGAGACAAAGACCATTATCCATATACAAATACAAATATATAGGTAGTAGGTTGGTAGACAGCAACTGCCCAGGGAGGTACTACCGTCCTGCCAAGTGAGTGTAAAACGAAAGCCTGTAATTGTTTTACATGATGGTAGGATTGCTGGTGTCCTTTTTTTCTGTCTCATAAACATGCAAGATTTCAGGTACGTCTTGCTACTTCTACTTACACTTAGGTCACACTACACATGCATGTACAAGCATATATATGTATATATACACATCCCTCTGAGTTTTCTTCTATTTTCTTTCTAGTTCTTATTGTTTATTTCCTCTTATCTCCATGGGGAAGTGGAACAGAATTCTTCCTCCGTAAGCCATGCGTGTTGTAAGAGGCGACTAAAATGCCAGGAGCAAGGGGCTAGTAACCCCTTCTCCCGTATAAATTACTAAATTTAAAAAGAGAAACTTTCGTTTTTCTTTTTGGGCCACCCTGCCTTGGTGGGATACGCCCGGTTTGTTGAAAAAAAAAAAAATACAAATACAAATATTTATTTCCTTGTGAAGCTTACAATGTGTGGTTTACATGTTATAAGATTTAAATTACAAAAATGGCCACTATCGTGCCTAGGCACTTCAGGCAAACTAATACTAATTCTTACACTATTTTGATATAGGTCATATTTGAGCAGTACATTTGAACATGTTATTAGATATTTAAATAGGAACATTCTCAGTTAGGTACATACATAATTAGGTTTAAAATAGTTAAGTAGTCAAATCATTTAATATTAGTTCATATGGCAGATTTAGTAATGGGATTTGATTTGTCTTGGCATGATACATTGTTTCTATTAAAGCCATACTGGAGGAGTATCTTAGACAAGCTTAGGATTAACTTAAGATTTAATAAGACTAACATAAGATTTAATAGACAATAGCTATGTTAGGAATTGGATGTTTACAGTCATTTGGGTGGATGTATGGTGGAAATTATGGGGGAATTATGGATAACAATAAGTCTATATTGTTTTGGATATGTTCATGATACAAAAATAGAATTGGGTGGTTTTCATTTGGTTAGCTGATGATGGGGTGTGTTATGGAGACGAGATGTTTTTTAACAGTAGTTTTGAAAATGGTGATTGAGACTGCAGTTCTAGAGTTTTCAGGCAGGGAGTTCCAGATTCTAGGCCCTTTTATGTACATCAAATTTTTGTATAGGTTTTGCCGGACACAGGGAATGTCATAGAAATTTTTGTGTCTGGTGCCGTGTCTATGGGTCCTGTTGCAGCTATCAAGAAATTGTTTTAGTTCCGGGTTAAAATTAGAGTTTATGGTTCTGTAACTGTAGATTGCACAATAGTAGGTGTGAATGTTCTGTACGGTGAGTAGGTTTAGGTCTTTGAAGAGTTGGAGTGTGTGCTGTCTTGCATTGGATTGCGTGATAATTCTCACTGTGGCTTTCTGTTGGGTTATTATCGGCTTTAGGCAAGTTGCTGCTGTTGATCCCCATGCATAAATAGCATAGGTGAGGTAGGAATAGATGAGTGACTAGTACAGTGTGAACAGGGCTGATTGTGGTACATAGTAATGTATCTTGGAGAGGATCCCAACTCTTTTGGATACTTTTTTTGTTATTTGTTGGATATGAGTGTTGAATTTCAGGTTTCTGTCAAGACACAGGCCCAGGAATTTGCCCTCGTTATGTATAGCAATAGGAGTGTTGTCAATCGTTACATTCAGCTGGGCAGCACCCGTTCTGTTCTCAAACAGAATGTAGAAGGTTTTGTCAGTATTAAGTGCAAGTTTATCAGCAGTCATCCAGATCAATAGTTTTACTAGTTCTTCATTAACAGTAGTACTAAGTGAGGCAAGATTAGGGTGGGAGATTACATATGTTGTATCTACCTACTGTTGTGAGACAGTAGGTAGATCATTGATGTATAAGAGGAAGAGTAAGAGACCAAGGACAGTTCCCTGTGGTACTCCAGTATCCAGTGGTCTTATGGATGAGGTTGTGTCCTTAATAGAGACATATTGCTGCCAGTTTGTTAGGTAGGATTTGAAATATGTAAGTGCAGGACCTCTTATGCCATAATGCTCAAGTTTGTGGAGTAGGATGCTGTGGTCTGCTGTATCAAATGATTTACATAGGTCAATAAGGAGTCCAAATGGAAATTCATTCTTTTCAAGTGCAGTGTAAAGTAGGACTAGCATTTTTACAATTGCACCATTTGTGCTTTTGTTTTTTTCTGAAGCCAAACTGGTAGGGGTTGAGGATGCTTTGTGCTGTTATAAAGTAATATAATCTCTTGTGTAAATGTTTCTTGAAGATTTTGGATAGCAATGGTAAGTTTGAAATTGGCCTGTAGTTGTTTACATCTGTGGGGTCACCACCTTTATGTATTGGTGTGACCCTGGCTATCTTGAGTAGTGCAGGGAAAGTGCTGGTTTCTAGTGATTTATTAAAGAGTAATGAAATAGCAGTAATGAGCCGCTCGTTTGTACAATAATGGAGAAACTTGAGCCAGATTTCCAGATTATTTTTAAGTGTTTTAATAATCACAGTGACTTCTGTGGGCTTGGTTGGTGCAAGAGGCAAAGAGGAGAATGTATGAGAGCATAGTTATACCATTGCTCTTACATGGGTGTAAAGAATGGGTGGTGAATGTTGCAACTAGGAAAAGGCTGGAGGCAGTGGAGAAGTTGTGTCTGAGGGAAGTGTGTGGAGTGAATATAATGCAGAGAATCTGTAGTTTGGAAATTAGGAAGAGGTGTGGAGTTACTAAAAGTATTATCCAGAGGGCTGAGGCGGGGTTATTAAGGTGGTTCAAACATTTAGAGAGGATGGAACAAAATAGAATGGCTTGGAGAGCATATAAATCCATAATGGAAGGAAAGTGGGGTAGATATTGGCCTAGGAAAGGTTGGAGGGAAGACATAAAGGAGGTTTTGTGTGTGAGGGGCTTGGGATTCCAACAAGCATGTGTGAGAGTGTTAGGAGTGAGTAGAGACAAATGGTTTTTAGGACTTGATGTGCTGTTGGAGTGTGAGTAAGGTAACATTTATGGAGGGATTCAGGGAAACCGGCAGGCCGGACTTGAATCCTGGAGGTAGGAAGTACAGTGCCTGCACTCTGAAGGATGGGTGTTAATGTTGCAGTTTTATAACTGCAGTGTGAGTGCACCTCTGGGAAGACAGTGATGAAGTGAATGATGATGAAGGTTTTTCTTTTTTGGGCCACCCTGCTTTGGTGGGAAACAGCTGATGTGTTAATAAAATAAAAATATACATAAAAATATACATATTTTTTTTTTAACACGTCACCCGTCTCCCACCAAGGCAGGGTGACCCAAAAAGGAAAGGAACACTTTCACCATCACTCACACAATATCACTGTCTTTGCAGAGGTGCTCAGATATAACAGTTTAGATGCCACTACAAACAGCCAATATCCCAAACCCTTTATTTAAAGTGCAGGCATTGTACTTCCCACCTCCAGGACTCAAGTCCAGCTAACCTGTTTCCCTGAATCCCTTCACAAAATATTACCCTGCTCACACTCCAACAACTCATCAGGTCCCAAAAACCTTTTGTCTCCATTCACTCCTATTTAACATGCCTGCTGCATGTCCAAGCCCCTTCTCTCCATCCTTTCCTAGGATGACCCCTACCCTTCCTCACCTCTACTGATTTATACACCCTCCAAGTCATCCTATTTTGCTCCACCTCTAAATAACCAAACCACCTCAACAACCCCTTTTCAGCTATCTGAATAATACTTTTAGTAACTCCACACCTCCTAATTTCCACCTTACAAATTCTCTACATAATATTTACACCACACATTACCCTTAGACATGCCATCTCCACTGCTTCCAGCTTCCTTCTTACTGCAGCATTTACAACCCATGCTTCGCACCCGTATAAGAGTGTTGGAACCACTGCACTCTCGTACATTACCTTCTTTGCCTCCAAGGATAGTGTTCTTTGTCTTCACAGATACCTCAATGCACTACTCACCATTTTTCTTTCATCAGTTCTATGGTTAACCTTGTACTTCATAAACCCATCCGCTGACAAGTTTACTCCCAAATATCTGAAAACATTCACTTCTTCCATACTCCCTCCCTCAAATGTCATATCTAATTTTTCTTTACCTAGCTCGTTTAATACTGTCATCACCTTATTCTTATATATGTTCACCATCAAATTCTTTCCTCTACACACCCTCCCAAACTCGTCCGCTAACCTTTGCAACTTCCCTTCAGAATCTCCCAAAAGCAAAGTTTTTTTTTTTCCAACACACCAGCCACCTCCCACCAAAGCAGGGTGACCCAAAAAAGAAAGAAATACTTTCACCATTGTTCAACACTTTCACTATCATTCACACATACTCACTGTTTTTGCAGAGGTGCAAAATGTTATCAGCAAAGAGTTACTGTGTCAAGTCCCATTTTGTATTTGATTCCACATAATTTAATCCCACCCCTCTCCTAAACAACCTAGCATTTATTTCTTATACAACTCAATCTATAAATATGTTACACAATCATTATTTATTTATTTACTGCAGATGTAGAATGAACCCCAAACAACTGAGACAGCACTTTTTTTTTCAGCTGGGATCTGTTGTGCCACTGCCAAGCACCACCCCATCACCACTAACTACACCCGCACACACTGAGACTGTGAAACCTCCGCCCCTCGAGGTGGACTCCCTTGTCAGTGGTCTTGATGGGCCCAGGGTGAGTATTAACTGACTGTTTACATTCATTCTTATGCCAGAAGAGGGATGAGGATTCCTCATAGCACATTAATTATATTTTGCTCTGACTGTTCAGTATATTAGTGGATTATTATAGTGTAAATTGGAAAATGATCATGTATTGTGTTCATGTGATGGGACAGTTGTTTTCATATTTTATTTATATAGATTCGTTGACATAATAGTAAATGTCAATGATGTTAGATTAAGTTCAGCTTTTGCTATGATCCAAATAACAATACAACTACATCCCACCGGTTTGTTGCAAAATTCTAACTGCCTTGAAATGAGTAGCAGTAGAAAAACAGCACTTGCCCTTTAAATTCAAAATGCAGGTAGTATATTGTTCTGTCTGCTGCTTTTTTCTTTCTTCAGTTTAAGGTGTTTCAGCTGTCAGCATTATTAACACTGTGCTTCAGATTGTTAGTACATATATTTAAATTATTTCACTTATCGATAGCTTACAACAAAATGATGGTGCGACCACAAAATGGTTTAGATTGAAAATGCAGTGAATGTACTGTTGTAAAGAATAAAGCAGTGATGGTAAAACATTTTGAATTTTCTATTGCTTGCCTCAGCGGGGATTTCCTCATATGGTAAGTTGCTTCTAACGAAATAGATGCATAGCTTTAAATAGGTTTTTGATTAAATGTGTACAAAAATTAAAATCATGATTTCAATACCATGTTAGCCAATAATTTTACATATTTAACATTTAAATTACGGGATAGAGGTTGAATTGTTGGAAAACTTTACAGTTACGACTGGCAGCACTGAATGAGCCCTTCACCGGAGACATGCATGGGGTGAGAGGGGCAGATTATGCTTGCTACAGGCAGGCCAGGAGGGCAGGGCTGAAAGGCACCTTCAGAGCATTACTGACATCTCGTGTCCAGAACCTGGATTCAATCGTTAGATACTCTGACCGTGATCTACCAGTTGTTAATCTTAAGGTAAGATAAATTAATTAAGCTCTGTACTTGAAACTTCATTTATTGAATAGTTTAGTCTCTGTCAACTATCCTATTGAAGACAGATGCAGAGCAACCTTTTACTATAGCAGTTTCATACAATGCCAGATTTAAATGCTAAGTTTAGAATTCAGTAGTATGTATTATTACATTCTTGCAGAGTGTTAAACCTGTATGGGTTGTACATATAAGTACGGGTAAGTTTGGGGATTAGTTTGCCTGTAATGTTTTGCTTAATTAGTGGCATTCTTTTGAGAATACAATTGTATCAGACTGATTTTGTATCATAATTGTATCAAAACTGTAAACCAAATGTACTGCAAAACCATTCATTGTAACTTCTATATATGGTTCTAAAGAAATGAAGATTTTTATTTTCTATGTGAAGCTTTATTACGCTCTACACAAAGTGAAACATTCAAAATAGAATTTCTATAGCTGTCTTTTCTTAATTACTTGCAGCAGTACACCTGTGTCACTTGTCCCATATGGGCATCAGCCATATTTGAATTTAATTTGTTTTAATTTAATCAGGATGAAGCACTTTAACCAGTAAGGATCATATAGCACCTGGAGAATGGGAGGCAATTAGATTCAGTCCAAGAAAAGAGAGGTAAATTTTTCCTTGGATTTTTTTACTCTCTTTTTATTAAGGGAGAAAAAGATTGTAGAAAGTATAGATTTAGGGAAAATTTGGTCTTAATATTGTTTTCTTTTGGGGGTGTCAGTTTTTGTAAAATTAATTTTTGTATCCAAAAAATTTTTTTTAGAGCATTTAGTGAGTCCCATTTAACTTTTTAGGGAAGGGGATTCAGATAAACCAGTTAGCCAGACTTGGCCCTGGAGGGGGGAAAGGGGAAAAAAGCCTACCATGGGGGGCTCTTTGTATGCCACTGCGAACGGCTGCCCCCCTTTTTTAAATTCGTATTATATTATAACATTAAATTTTAAAATGAGTCTTTTTTTTTTTAAAATTCCTTCTTATACTTTTTACATTATATAACCCTTAACCCTTTCATATTTTTTGGGATGTATAGTATGTCTTACCCCCCAGGGTTATTGATGTTACAGTACGGGGGTAAATTCTAGCATCCTCAAATCAAGCGGGAAAAAAAAGGGCTGGTAGGAAAGGGTTTGTGGGGAGAATGGGTCTTCTGTGGTCAGTGTGATGGTAAAAAAAAAAAAATAAAAGGGCCCCAGTGGTTCATTGTAAAAAAAGCCATTTTTTACAACTTGTTTCCCCAAAGGTCTAGCACCCAAAAATCCTTACTCCTCAGCTAATTGGGGTTCCTTTTTTCCCCCAAAGTGACTTTTTAAAAACACAGATGGAAGTTTTCAGTGAAAGTTTAAATTTCATGGTTTTGAGGAGTTTTTTGACTAAAAGCAATGCCCCAGGAAACCAGAAGGAAGGAATAAAGGGGTGGGAAGAAAGGTGGGGAAGGAAGGGAAGAAAGGAAGAGATAAAGGAAAAAAGGGGAAAGGGAAAGGGAAAGGGAAAGAAAGGAAGGGAAAGGGGAAAAACCATAAACCAGGAAAACCCAAAAAAATTAAAGACAGTGATTTTTTTCCATTGGGTTGGTGTGGGGGGGGGGGAAAGGGGTTTATTGCCCAGGATTTTTGAGAGTGGTATGATGGTTTTGATTTGTCTTTGGGGACACAAATTACCCCATTTGGTTAGCATATTTAAAAGTCCACCCCCCCCCAAAAACAACTACAAGCTTTAAGAAGTTTGTGCAGTTCTGGGAAGGGGCCCAAATTTAACTTTATATATGAGATTTATTTATATTATTATATTTATATATTATATATATATATATTATATATTATATATATATATATTTATATTATAATTTATATATATATATTAATATATATAAAATATTTTTTTAAATATATATATTTTATATATATATATATATTTTTTAAAAATATATATATAGGTGTGGTTTGGTAGCAGCAAACCCCCCGGGAAAAAGGGTTACTCCCGCCTCCCAAGTTCTGTGAAAAAAAAAAATTTGAAACTTTTTTGCTTTGAGGGTTTTGGTTGTGGTTTTTTTTCTGTCTAATAAACACGCTAGATAACAGGGATATTTTGGGCTACTCCTACTTACACTTTGGTCCCCACTTCACGACACGCCATGCATAAAATTATTACATACATTTTAGGTTTTTCCCCTTTTTTCCCTAAATAGCTCTTGTTCTTTTTTTTTTTCTTTTTTTCCAGGGGGAAGGGGAAAAGAATTTTTTCCCCCTTTAACCCAAAGGTGTCTTTTTGGGGCGCCCTTTTAAAATGCCGGGAGCAATGGGCTAGAAACCCCTTTTCCTGTATACAATTACTAAAAGAGAAAGAAGAAAAACTTTATAAAACTGGGTTGCTTAAATGTGCGTGGGGTAGTGGGGGATGACAAGAAACAGTTTTGATTGTTTGTTGTTATGAATGAAAAGAAAGTTGGATTCCGGGCCCCCAAAGCGAAAAAGCGGAAGGGGGTAGGGAGTTTCAGTGGGGGGGAAAAAAAAGGGGTTTAAAATCTGGAGTATCTGAGAGATTTTGAGAAAAAGGAAGGGGTTTAGCAGTAATTTTTTAAATGATCATTTTGGGAAAGGAGAAAAGAGAATATGAATGGGGAAAAATTCAAAATTATGTGGATTAAAGAAAAGGTTTGGGAAAGGGGAAAAAGTGGGCCCTAATAAGCGTGTTGCCCCTGGAGAAAAAGGGGAAAATGCGAGGGGGGGGAGAGAGATTTTGGGGGATGTTAAGTGAATGTTAGGGGGGCCTTTAAACCCAAGGGAGGGGGTAATTGTGTTAGGGGATTTAAATGCTAAAGTAGGAGAAATTTTTTAGAGAGGGTTGGTAGGAAATTTTGGGGGTTTCCCAGGTGTAAATGTTTAATGGGGGGCCCTTTTGGATTGAATTTTGTATAAAAAAGGGGTTTATTTATGGAAATTTCCATATTTTAAGAAAAAGAGGAAAAAAAGTAAAAAGGGTATGATGAGGGCAAAAATGACTTTAGTTTGTTGGATTAGTTTGGTAGATAAAAGACGGTTGAGTAGACTTCAGGATGTAATGTTTATAGGGGGGCCCCCCAAAGGATATATCAGACACTTTCTAGTTGTAGCTACACTGGGGAGAAAAAGGTAGTTGGGATTAAAAGGGGAATAAAAGCATCGGGGGGGGAAAAGGGAGGGGGTAAAAGGTTTTTATAAATTTAAAAGAGGAGGCGTTAGGGAAAGAAAATAAAAAACCCCTATTGGAGGATAGATGGGCTAATGAGAGCTTTGGGCAAGGGGGTCGAAGAGGTATGGGGTATTTTTAAAAAAATGTAGTGTTAGAGTGTTCAGCAAAAAGGTTTGGGGTTTTAAAAAAAAAAGGGGTTTGGGGGTGCAGGGGGAAGAGGAGCGATTTTTGGAATGATGATGTAAAGAGATTTGAAAGGGAAAAAAAATTTAAAGCATATGAGAAGTTTTTACAAATTTGGAAATGATGCAAGGAGGGAAGGGGTTTGGAGAAAAAAAGAGGAATTTTTGAGAGTTTTTGAAGCAATGAAAAAAGGGAAAAGAAAATTGAGAGAGTGGGTGAGTTGTTATCAAAAAATTTTGTTGAAAAAAAAGGGAAAAAGTTTTGGAGTGAGATTAAAAGTTAAAAAAAAAGCCTAGAGAAAAAATGGATTTGTCAGAAAAAAAAAAAGGGGGGAGGAGGGGAAATTATTAAATGGGAGTTAGAGGTTTGGGAAGATGGAAAGGAATTTATTTTGAGGAATTGTTAAATTTTTGATGAAGTAGGGAAGCTGTGATTTGGGTGTTAGGGCAAGGAGGAATAACATTTTTGTGGAGTGGGGGAAGAGCCAGTTGTGAGTGGGGGGGAAGTTGTGAGGCAGTAGGAAAATTTAAAAAAGGGGGTTTAGGCACCCGGGGATTGGGGGGTTAAAGATAAAAAATTTTTAAAGCAGGTGGGGTATAGTTTTGGAGTGGTTGGTGCAATTATTTAAAAAATGTATGGAAAAAAGGGGAAAGGCCCCCCCAAAAAGGGATTGGCAGGAGAGCATCCCTTTTCCCTTTGTATAAGGAAAGGGGGGAAAAAAAAGAGTGAAAAAAATTTATGGGGGGGGAAAAGTCTGTGGGTGTACCTGGTAAAGTTTTTTTGGTAGAGTTATAATTGAAAAAATTTAAAGGGGAAAAGAGGAGAAAAAGGAAATGCAGAGAACAAGGAGGTTTTTGGAAAGGTAGGGGGGTGTGGACCAGGTGTTTACAGTGAAACATATAAGTAAACCCAGTATTTAGAAAAGGCAAAAGGGAGGTTTTTGTGGATTTTTTTGGGTTTTTGGAAAAGGCGTTTGACAGGGTGGTTAGGGGGGCCCAATGGGCAGATGTTTGCAAGTGTATGGTTTGTAGGAGGTAGGTTACAAAAAAGGCAGTAAAGGGTTTTTTACGGGTTTGTGAGGCTCAAGTTAGATTTGGTGGGGAAAAGGGGGAAATTTTTTTCCCCAGTAAAAGTGGCCCTTTTGGAAAAAAGGATGTGTGATGTACCGTGGTTTGTTTAATATTTTATAGATGGGGTTGTAAGAGAAGTAAATGCGAGGGTTTTTGGGCAAGGGGGTTTGGGGAAAAAAAGATAAAAAATTTCCACACAAAGGGGGAGTTGTCACTGCTCTTTTGCTGAGGGGGGGACCACTGTCCTTGGGAAAAATTTTTAAGAAAAGTTGCAGAGATTGGTGGATAAATTTTTGGTGGGGTGGCAAAAGAAAAATTTTTAAAAAGGTGAATACATAAAAGAGTAAGGTTAGGGAGGATAACAAAAGATTAGGTGATGAAAGATTGAAAAACCCAGATTGGGGGGAGAGAGTAGGGGAGGAGGGAACTTATTAAAGATATTTTGGGAGTGGACGTTGTCAGCAGGGGGGGTCTTTGAAAGTGAGGTGAATCTAGAAATTTATGAGGGAAAAAGAGTGAGTGGTGCCCCTTTGGTTTTGGGAGACAAAAAACTT